TGTTGATATATTATTACGGAATTGCACTTATCTTTAGCTAATAAATTTCTGTTTTCTTTGAAAAAAACTAGTATTTAAGTTTAGTTCATATTGATTTATTCTTATCGAATAGATCATTATAGTTAGAATTTTCTCTAACAAACCTAATAATTACAATAAATCTGGGCTCACACGAATCTCTTCGCTTTAATTTATCGTTTTTATCAGACGACTGAAAGCCTCACGACAAATACTTATCTGTTGAATGTATTTTACTGAGTTGTGTTCAATTAATGGCAAATATTCTTTTGTATTACAAATTCAATTGCAAATGGATGCATGTTATGCGGAGTGTTGCTAACGAAGTTTTCAGTTTCCTTTCAGTATTTGGCCTTAAATTTAAATTTGGATACTTAATAGATTTTGTAGAATTATAGCGGAAATATTATGGTACTAATAGAAAATTAATGTAAATGGCATTAAAGCAACTAATTGGACATAAAATGAATGAATGCTGTATTTCTCATAATTTCAGTCTACTCTGTGCAACAGTCAATTAAAAATGTGGATAGTTCGTAATCTCTTTCGCGGAACGTTTCTTGTGACGTAGACCATCTTAATGTAGAGATATCAATTTTTAACATTATATATGTTTTAATATAATAAGAATACAGTATAAAATACTACAAATATTAGTAATAAAGAAGAGAAGTATACTGTGCCTTTTCATATATTTTTGTATTATTTAAAAATTAATACGATGTCGGCTGTTTACTAACACTCAAGTAAAACTAAAAATATGTAGGGAAATGTTAAGCATATAAGCTTCTAAAAAAATGCTCAATGTATCACAATAAATCAATTGGGTATACGAAACTCTTGCTGTTATCCACTTTGTTTTTTTCTTGAGGTTTTCTTTGATGGATGAACCTCGGGGGATGTTGTTCGCGTGTAAACAGCGCTGTAAGAAGCCTCGACGTCAGAGTTTACAATAAACTTTTTAAGTAAACTACGGGAACAGTATTATAATAGAAAATAAAGAGTTTATATTCCTCACGTCTTAGTAACATGCGAGAATTTAAATAACTCAGAGATATTCTTAATATAATGTACAGTTAACATTACGATGTGGTTGTCCCATACTGAGGTGATTCCGAGAAGTCTTTGAGAGGGACAAAACAAAACGATCCATGTGTAAATTCAAGTCGACGGTGCTTATTAATTACCCGTTAGTATTCGAAATATAAAGTTAGTTGAATATAATAAAGACACTTTTGTTCATTCTGTTCCGAATAATACGTTTGAGAATAGCTACTCTACGCGAACATTATCAGCTTATTAAGTTTGAAATGAAAAATTTCATAGCTATTTTTAAGTCGTGGAAATGAGGACATTGTAACAAATAATAGTCGTTAATAAGACAATGAGTGGTGCTCTCCCCCGCCTTCCCCCGTCTCCCTCCCGCCTCACCGCCTCCGTAACTTGAAGTGATTTCACAAATTGGTATTTTACGGTTTCGCTGGAGTCGAGGCGGCACAATGCTCAATTAATTAAACCGCGCAACGTTCATAATCTGATTACAGCTAAGTAGCTTGTACATTGTCGTACAGACCACCGAACGTGCAGACACTATCATTAATTCATTAAAGAAATAGTTTTAAAATAGAAGTGACATATGAAGTGTTCATTCGCTAATCCTGGTTACCTCTAACAGGTTCCTTATTTACAAAATAATCCCTATTCTCACGTTTTTCAAGATAATAAGAGTAGACAGAGATAAGAAACGTTTCATTGTATCCGGTCACCCGCATTGTTCGCGATTATATTCTTTGGACAATGAACTTTGCTATCGACCTATGAAATTGAATGTCCCCTCCCCTGTCCGCTCTCTCTGGCTGGTGTCAGGAGACAATAAACGCATTACACGGCCGAGAGCCTGTCAAAAGAGAAACACTAGCGCCCCCTCTGTCACGCCTTCTCAACTCTACGCTCTTTTTTCGTTTTTTCTCGTTACACTTTGTTTTTGAGTACTGCTTTTAGCTGACAACAAAGAAGTTAAACGGAAGCTCAACTTTTTCCTCGTCTCTATAACGTAATATAAAATTGTATTAATTTCTTTTATTAAATAATTTCAAAAGGCTATTGTTGGGACATTGAGCGAGTATTTTTAATATGGACTACATCATGAATCGCAATAAAATGAGGTCGCCAAAAACAATAGCTAGATGAAGTTTTTTTAACGCATGATTTAATATCTACAAATCAATTTGAAGGACCAGGACTATCAAAGTCACTGTTTTCGATTAAAGTCAATGTTGTACATCATAGTTAGAATGTAACATCACAGCAGCATCTAGCCCTGACAAGGGTTGACCTACATCGCACTCAGAGTGTCCGCACTCGCCGGCCCTTTGCACAAATTACGATAACATTAACAATAAAATGTATCTTCAAACATGGCTTATCCTTACTGAAACCCTCTTAATGGTTTCCAATTCCCTTTATCAGATGTATTGAACATTTTAAAATTAATAACTTCTATATTATTGTATTATTCGTATTAACATAAAAACCATTACTACAATAGACATAGAAAATAAACAAATTATCCTACGATTAACAATTTGTTTTAATTCAAAGACACACTTATATAAGTATTTTGCTTGTCTCTTATCATTTCTTCGCATTTTAGTTTGCAACTAGTTTAAGCACACTGCACAATACACACAGACTCATCTCACAGCGAAAATACATACACACAAATGGACGAGATTCCGTGTTAAATAGCATAGTGTCGTCCAAAAAAGGATCAGCGATACACTCCACGCCTTTTTGATCAAATTAGGATATATAAAAAAAGAGCATACGCACACTTATGACTAAACTATCGAACTGTTAATTACTCGATTTTTAGTCGTGATAAACAGTTTGGCTGCAAAACAATCGACAAACGCACATCAGTTGTGCGTTTAATCAATGGTGTGCGCCCGAATAAATAAACTTTTTCCGTCTCCCATTCAAATCATATTACTGAATAGACATTGATTAAAGCTAGGGTGTTTTAAAGTTTATAGATTTGTGGATTGTAATGTTTTAACATTCTTCTTTCTATATTAATATGAAAACAACTATGAAATCCTGGTCATACTCTATGCAATAAGTGAGCGTTTAATAAAGAGCGAGTATGGAATTAAATATATCATGCTAGTGTGTTTCGGTTCCAATATCGCGGGTCCGACGAGGGTCAGATATTATCCCCGGAATATCCGATAATATTGTTACACGATGTCGAGGTCACACGACATATAATAGTGTTTTGCTTGGAAACTAAATGATCAGCTCTGCACAGATTGAATCTCAAACAAAATACTCTCTTATACTTGCTACTGACGGTCAGTTCTAAATAACAGTTTTTACTGAAGAGTCGAACTGTTCAATTAAGACTGTCAGTTAGACCTGAGCGTATGTAATTCATGAAATTACTATTTCGTATATTTTTATCGGCATAAGATTCGGTTATCTATCAGTTGGCTTTTTCTTTTTAATTTAGCATATTAAAATTTTTATTTATTGTTAAGAGAAGATGTTGTAATAAAATAATTAAATAATGAAGCTCAACTTTATAAGATTTTAAAACGCTCTCGTAATAAAAGTTAGTAATTTCTTAGAGAACAGAAAATCTTAAACTGGCGAAGGAGATTTATGAAAACAAATTCTTTGAGATTAAATGTGCTGAGATTTATTATCTGCCGTCCTTCTACATTAAATAACTTCCTATAGCTATGGAAGTTCAGTTTAACGGGACAGTTCTTTCTTTCTGCTTAAATACTTCGGAATAATTTGCCTTTGTAGTATTTTCAGTCTTATATCAATGCTGCAGTGTTCAATATTGTAAGGCAGATGTATAACGCATTAGAATTGCTAACGATCCAAATAGTATGGAGCGTCGCTAACAGTTCCATTGTAGCTGATACATTGGCTAAGGTGCTTCAATTTATAGCACATTTGTGTTTGCGAAAAGTAGTAAATTGTGTCGCAGTCACGGTCGTATTTATTACTGCAGGTTGCAGGAGCGCTCCCTTGATACAGCCTACGTATAATAACCACTAATCAGGCGTCTAACACAAACATATGCGTGAAATTATTATTGACAGTACGAGTTTTGGTAACGCAATTTACCCCCGATAGAGGGCGCTGTAATAATACTAGGAACGAGCGCACAACTGTTATGCGATTGTCGATTGTTTCACAGCCAATTCAACTGTTTAGTTGCACAACTAAAAATGTGTGTGCGCACCACCATTTAAGGTCACAGAGATTCAAAGCAATACTTTGTCTAGTGTTGTTGTGCGATAGTTTAGTTTCCAGAGTGCTCACGCTGTTAGTCAACGTGTGACGACAATTAGAGCTAGGTCTATTGCATTTTTACATGTAAAACATGACAAAAGTACAAAGAGCCACATGTATCATGTTTGCAGCCACGTTGGTTTGTTTTTATGTCTACAATCGCATGTTTGATAATTACCATTTTCTAGATCTTATTACATCACTTTATGTTCTATAGACAAATCCACAGTTAAACATAACACATATTGCTTTAATTGACATTTCATATCTATGGAAAACGTAATAATGGTCTCGTAAACCTTGCAGTGACGAACTGATAATGGACAGTCTTAGTGACTGTTATTTGACTTGTAATTTCCCATGGTCATAATAATTTATATTGTATCTAATAAAATGATAACTAAAAGGAGTAGCAGGGTTTCAGATTGGAAAGTTATGTTCTATCACTACCCTAAAATGTACAATATTTATAAAGCAAATTACAGTAATACTAATATTGATGTGTGTTGATGTGTGTTTGATGCAAGTTAACTTCGTTGCATTAATCTAGCAAACAGGGAAGGCGGATTATCTTAACAATTCTTTAATGATACAATCCACTTTATTGCCTCATACGGTATAAAATGTCGCGGCGTTTCAAACGTTTGATCAGAAAATTTTAAGCAACTCGAAAACATGTACGGAAAATTGATAATCACAGCATTCATTGTAAGTGTGCTAAAAAGACGACATAATTAATTAGTTACTAAAATATTTCAGGACTAAATATTATTTTATAAATTATTTGATTATGAAATCTGTATTTCTCAGGTGCTGTCAGTAGCCTGGCACGTCCACGGTGCCGTCAACTGTACGGCGGCAGGCAGGTTTGCGGATCCCGCGGACTCTACCTGCAAGAACTACACCCTGTGTGTGCTGGTGACTGCTAACACCAGCTTTATCGGCTACAACTACGTCTGCCCCACTACCAGCCTCTTCAACCCCACCACTGCAAAGTGCACCACCACCTACTCGTGCAACGGCACCACTACCAATTCCACTACAAGCAACAGCACCAGCTCCTCCGTTTGTTCCGCCGACGGCTTCGTTGCGGATCCCAGTTCAACAAATTGCTCCTCCTACATCCAGTGTGTTCTTATCAACGGAACTTATCTCGAGACGACACTGACCTGCCCGACTGGGTCATTCTATAATCCTAACACTACTCTGTGTGAGGTGAACTATGTATGTGCTTTCACTTGCACGGCGGCGGGCAGGTTCGCCAATACCGCGGACACCACTTGTCAGACGTATTACCTGTGCGTCCTCACAAGTACTAGTACGTTTACACGGTATGAGTATACCTGTCCCACTACTTCCGTGTTCAGTCCCACCACCAGTGTGTGCACTACCACGTATACTTGTCCCACCGCCTCGGGATAGTCTACTGTTTTGATTTTGTTGCTTAAGACTTTGTGATTATTATGTTATGAATTTTGCAGAAAAAACATGGTTGATTTAGTTTATGTGGTGATAAGTATGCCCGGTAATTGCTTTGTGAAATCTCTAATTTGATTGTAATCTAAATTTCTTAATGTGTTTTTATTTTGTGATTTATTGTTTTTTTATTTATTAAAAAAATAATGTTACGAATAAAATAAATTCGATGTTTTTATTACTGTGTTATAATATTACCTTAGGGTTTTAAGTCAACACTGTATCCTTGGAAACGATATCTGATTTTATTCAATCCATTAATTCTTTTCTTTTTGGTGTCGCTGAATGAATCGGTGTGGGCCAGAGTCGAGTCAAAATCATCCCCATTGTTGTCTGAGGGAACAATGTCACCCCGCGATTGAAATTTCAAACGTCTACCAAAATATTTCTTCTACTTTTATGTAAGATTAAAATTTTTTACTTTATTTTCAACGCATTGTTCTATCTCAGCTGATGAATCTGAAGGGTTTTGCTTACATTTTGTTAAATGTTAACTGGTACTGGTAACATAACTTAGTAATAATAATCGGTAATAAGGATTAAACATTAATTTACGAATGATATATCTAACTATATCTGTACTTTCTAATAATACGCATACAATTTTATGTTGATCATTATCATTAGAACAAGAAAAAAATAACATTACATCAACTAAGAATTATTTAATTACCTAAAACTTATATAAAAATACGTCTTTTTGTATTATTCAGAAGAGACTATAAAGACGACAAGTACAGTCACCTTCAGAATCTACTGGTAACATTTGCTACAAATGAATGATTTTCATTTCTTTCGTGACATGAGTATATTCGTGGCAGGCGGCTGCGGGAGCAAGATCACTCTGCAATTGAAAACAAATATTAATAAATGCGGGCGCCGCGATCCGGTACGATCCGCTTCGAGCCGGTACGAGCCGGTGGCTTCGGGAAATTGGAAGAAGAATAAAACGCGTCGACTCCGATGCGGGGAAATTTGCTCGGTAAGATATTGAGGCGGGCGTTGCCAGATGTTCAAATATGAGGTTTATTACCCAACATAGCACTTTACTTCGTTTACTGTTATCTTTTTTCATTTATTTTTAGGTTATAATTTTGATCGATTTTACACTCGTTATAAGAGATGTAGTAGATACTGACCTACTACTAACCAAGCGATATTTGGCCTTCTAATGCCAACGGTCTGGTCGATATTTCTACACCTTTTTTACCATGCCTTAGGAGATGGTGAGAATGTTCGATAGGGTTATACGAGTACCACAAAATACATCGTATCTAGCATATTAAAACCGCATAAACATCGCACTCAATGTTTCCATCTCTCAGTCAAAGCGAGGCCTCCCACTGTTCTGTTTCTGTTAAAATAAGACAACTTTTTCCATTACATTTTGGAAAGTTTGTAAAAAGTTCTTTTGGACGTTTCGTATTCCATTTGTTTGCAGTTTTTAAATGATATAGCTGACAGGTTTACTCGACGTTTTTGATTAATTTTAGAGATAATAATTACAATTATTTAAACCTTTAAGCTTCAAGATACTTAGATACGTGATACATAAAAATTTTTGTTTTTCATATTTCTCGGATTTGAAACTTAAACTTGGGACAATATCTCGTGTAACTTATTTCCGTTGTTAAATTATAATCTTGAAGTTGTTTTCTTTAACTTCTTAGTTTAAAAAAAACTTCGTCTCTGGTGTGCCCTGCCAAGGCGATGGCATAATTTCGCGATAACATCTCCGTGAGGACGGGCTGCCGCGCTCGTAGCGAGAGAGGGGCCTTCGGGGGTTGCAGGGCGGAGGGGGGTGGCGGAATTTTTAATAGCACTTGTTTTGCTCCTAAGAGCAGATGCCGTCGCCGCTCTGTTTGAGAATTTTCATAACTTTCATTTCACTACAAATATAAAAGTGTAACGCCGATGTAAAGTGCCGTTGGATGTGCTTTTGTAACTATGTATTTCTTTAATAACTTGTTCATGTACATTTTCCATTAAACATATTTAAACAACACTAATAGTTATTAAAAATTACAATGCATTACAATTTTCAGTGCAACGAAAATCTATTAGACTAAGAAAGAAAACTGATTAAATAAAACAATTACATTAAAATTGATTTCCAAGTGGAAATCCAAAGTGAAAGTAATAGAAACAATAAGGTATTTAATTAGTTCTCGGAACTATCTGGTATTATTAATTTATGTTCCGCAGCTGGCTTTGGATAATCGCAGCCTTAATCTGCGGCAGTTACGTCGCTCGGATTGGTCGCTTAATCGATGTTAATCACAACCGTTAGATTGTAATAACACTAACATTTACTAACGTAAAGGAATAGTATGTTTTCACAATTAAAGAACATTACTTGACAGTGTTAATTTGAAGAGTCAAATTGTTCAATTAAAGCGGTGAGTGTAAAGGCAGAATTTGAATTGTGAGTTAAAATGAACAGTTCTCAGTTTCTTACGGGATTTTTATTACTATTAAAACTAAAACTAGGGTGTTATCTTATTAATGTATTATTTAAATATATACATTTACTCTACACCTTTTATTGATAATAATTTATCGAGTGCCAGTTCATATTTATTATTATTTGCTTTCTCACGGCGAGCGCTCGCTTTGTTGAACGTCGCTGAAATGAGGCAACTTGCTATGATTTTAAGTTGCAAGGAAAATAGAAAAATGCGTATCTTTTGTGTTTTCAATTTCATGCTATTTTTATAATACTGGACATTTCTTATTACTTCTTCAAGTTTCTTGATGGCAAGTAAATATTTTAGACCAAATAATGACTTTGACGATGCAGTTACTCGTTTCCAGAAATACTTATGTCTGTTATATTTGTCTTAATTTAAATGATTTTATAGTTATTTGTTTATTCATCTTTTCAATAGATTGTTGAGTATGAAAGCAACAATAACTTATAATTAACAAATTAGAAAAAGTTGAATCTACCATTAATATAGGTAAATGTCATCCGAAACATGGGAATGACATGTAGGTGGGTAACTGCAAGAGATAAGACGTGGTGACATTTATTAACGCCCTCTATCGGTAAAAGTAAGGTTTCTACATTTTATTAACAGTTGAAACATCTTAACAAAACTTGTTTTGAATCAATAACTGACGTAATAATTTAACAAGACAATTCTTGGTATCCAATTAATATGTAATTGATTTTGAGTCTATTTGGGAATTTTTCCGTAAAGACTAAAACGGTATCGAAGCATGTAGTAAAACGTATTCAGAGTGATTCGCGCTGCGTTAATTTAAAACGAAAAAGCTGCAGATTCTCATTAAGCGATCTCATAAAAGGCTCTAACGACCATATTTATTAGGCTATCGGAATTTCATTAAGTTCGACAAAAAAGATGGCGAACATTAAATTGAAAAAATATTTTCAACCAATATGCGAGGCATCCGAACGTCATTAGTTTGAGCATATATTTTGTAATAGAAATATACACTTTATTGACCTTGACAAAATAATTTACGCTACTAATACTATACGATTGAACGGATCTTAATGAAATTTGACAAGATGTAGAGTGTAGTCTGGAAGAAAACATAGGCTTACTTACTTTTGGTTCTTTTTTAATTTGACGCGGATGAAGTCGCGGGTAAAAGTTAGTGATTTAATAAATAAGGAAGCTATCAAGCTAAGTATTTTTTTTTGATGAATTTAAAAGGAAAAAAAACGGGCAGATTAAGGAATTCATTGAAGTTTTAACGATAAGCGTTATCAGCAATATTTCTGTCACGAGCAGATCTCTTTCATGTGCCCTATCTACTGCGACAGAGGCGGGCACCTACACGAGACGTTGTCCCTTTGTATAAAATACGATAATGAAAGATCCACAGAGTTTTAATTTCTTTAAATATATTTTTAAACTGGGAACCTTCATCAATCATTTAAACGTGTGACAAATTCAAAAAGATAAATGAAAAATTCAGAAATTTGTAACTAAAAGTTTACACAAAGCTTATACAATGAAATGGAAAAAGTTGTCTTGTTATAATGAAATTAGTGACAGGCTGAGGCTCCCAAACCGCGGCTCGCACACAGGAGTTACAGAATTACGAAATAATGTTTATGAGTAGGTGTTATTGAAACTAAATTCAATTGAATTAATACTTTTAGATCATCTTAACCTAATAAAGTTTTTTTGTAAGTTGACACTAAATTCATACTTCTTAGATACAAAAGCGTTTACATACGTGTTGAACACGCAAAGGAGATAAAACACGTGCCCTAGCGTGGTATCTAATTTGGGTTTCATCGTACAATATAAACGAAGGTAAAAAAGGAAATCAAACAAAAACTGGTCGTGATAATTATTTACGTGGAGGTTGGGTTTGAGTAAGAACAAGGAACGAGTGAGATATGCGCGCCATTAGCCAGGGCCGTACCACCGCAGCGCCGCAGCGCCGCAGCGCCGCTGACACATCGGGGTTACGCGACTCCACGTTTTTGCTCCCCTTCTAGTTAATGGCACTCACTAAGAACATCTTGTAGCAGTCCGAAACGCGCTGTCGCTGCAGTAACCCCTTGATCTTAAATGGAAATCTATTTCTTACCTGACTTTGTACATTTGCTGAGTTTAAAAAAAGGAATTGTTATGACTTCAGAAAATATGCAACGTTTTAATACGAGGCGAGCGAGGAGCAATTTTGTCTACCGGCAGCTGCGGAGCGAAGATTACTCCGCGATTGAAAACAAATACTGATGAATACTGAACGTCGCCAACGACATTTTATAAATTGAAAACAGCGTGTAAACAGCGGGGAACTTTCTAGATGTAATTGTTTTCACAGAATTTACTTACGAAAACACTTTGATGGTATTAAATTTTTAGTTTATATAAAAATCCCGGTGTTATTTTTCATAGGTGTTTCAATTGAATTGAATTTAAATAAAAAAGTAGTCAAATAAAAAAAATAATAAAAACGAAACTAGGGAGTAAAAGTTAACGTTGAACAATTTCGAAAGGATTTTCGATGGAGAAAGTTTGAATTAGCGTAACTTCCGGCGACTGCAGCGCCCCCATCC